TTAAAAAAAAAAACCAAGACAACAACAATTAGATACTTGCACAAAGGCTATGTGAGCTTTTGCAGTAGTGCGCTGAAGTGTGTTAAAATGAGCAACCAACTCACCCAAGCTGCTACGTCAACGGGAGAAGTGTGTTTCAGCGTTTCGCCGCAGCGGAGTGCCCGTTACATGACTCTCCGCTCATCCGTTGTCTGGCGCTCTAGCCTTCCACTTTCGGCGACCGCGTCTCGTGGCGATCTGGCAGGCTTTGTCAGTATACAGGAGGCTATGTTACTGCATATCGCGGCACGTGCACACTCGTGTGTACATTTTTATAAACGTTGAGAAGCCACTGTTGATTAGTAGACCCACCCTAAGAACTGCGTAGAAAGATGTTCTCAATCAAAATGATCACACTAAAACATAACACATTTCATAGTATATGTTGACCTATGTGTCCATCTCAACAGGCGTGGAACTCATAAAAGCTCGTACGTTAGTAGTATTTTTTTTGCAAGGTCTATGATCGGGTGGGCCAGCGTTGGTAGCTATTTATTTGGCTGTCAGAGTTCAAGCCTCCTTTTTTCTTTGCTTTTCCGTTGGCGTCAACACTCTTGTAATTTAATCTTTGGCAAAAATTCTTCAGCAAGATGTTAGTGCTGGACCACAGTACCTGTTTAGGATAAGCTCGCTTGTGTGCCCGCCCTCAAATGTGTTGAAGTCAGATGAGTCGTCACTGGCTAGAAGTTCTACAGTGAGCTTTGCGACGGGCTGGCGCTAGTTCGGCATCCGCAAGAACTGTGATGCTTCGAGTGTTGTGGCACAATTACCTAGCTGTTTGTAACCACATTAACGGCAAACAGTCTTCTGCCAAGTGCCATGACAATATCATAGTCCTTTTCCGGGTCAGAAACTCATAATGATCTGTCTGTCGTCAACCGGACCCTGCATTTGTCGCATTTCAGCCTCTTCAACGTGGCATGAATCGCATATCCTGCCACGTAAACTAAGACAGACAGGATGTCTTTTACTTTCAAGAGCGCTTTTTCAGACACTATTCGGTTGCAGCTGGGCCGTGGAGCATCCGTGCGTTTGTAAAGACCTTGCCATTGCTGGTCTTCGTCACTGTCTCCTTTGGAAGTCAGCCGTCTTCGGCAGTGTGCTTTGGAGGCGCAATTTGTCTTCCCCTTCAAATACCTGCCCAAATAGGACATGATATTGGAAGCCAGCCAGTTGTCTCTGTTTCCCAAAACGTGCTTCTACTCTGTTAGTCTGTATCTTCCCCGAGAGGGCGTAGGATAGCTCAAGTTCATCAAAGTAGAATCTGGCAATCTCGAAGAGTGCCCGAGATGTTTGGTGGAGAGCACCATGGGTGTCACTTGTAAGATTGCCATCATCAAAACCCTTGTTCTTCCAGGCGCCCAGCCAGTCCAAAAACTTGTGCATAAACTCCAACTTAGGATTGTCCACTGAAGGGAACACTGATTTTTGGAAGTTGTCCATTCGCGCGATTCCTTTGTATGAAGTTTTCACATTTACAATCTTCCACCATTTGAGTATAGTCTCGATGAACGTTTCTGTTTCCTCACAGTGTGTAAGGTCCGAATCTGATCCCAGGAAACTAAGTGCACAAGGCAGGAACTCGTGAAAGATCTGCAGAGCAACTTTCACATTTGTTCGTTCAAGGTTCAATGGATTCAAAGCCTTCCTTGAAACACTGTGGCCGTAGCGCAGGACTTGCTCGCATTCCAAGTTGTAAGCCTCCCTGATGGCTTCAAAAGATGCCTGCAGCATTAGCTCCCCTGTCGACTCCTCAAACTCAGGAAAGTAAAAGCAAAGCCTGTCGCTCTTTTGGTTGAGTCAATTGTTCCGAATGCACTTGATGATGTGTACGCAGTGAATGACGAAGAACAGTGGCCTGTCAGGGTCAGAGGGGTGTGGATAGCGAACTTGTGGTTTTTCAGGGTGGGGGCTCATGAAATAGGACATCGCTTTTCTGTTGATGGAGTTATTGTCACTGAAGATGCACACAGCCCGGTAGCCAATCTTTTCCCGCTCACAAATCGCGTCTCTTAGCAACTTGAGCAGAAACTTTCTGTCCGCTCAATGCACAGGAACAATTTGAGCTACTTCCTTGAAATTGCATGTGAGGCTTTGTACCACAAAAACCAGGGTCGGTGTTGGCCGGTTCTGTAGAATTGAACGCCGCGCCGGTGATACTTCCACCTTTGTAATCAAAACAGAGTTTGATTTGGACCTCGTCTACCATAAGAGTTACAACGCTTTGCTGATTGTCAAGCTCAAAAATATTTTCAAGCAGCTGAGGAATGTGGGTTTTTCGTGCTTTGCTTGGGGGTTCATTCCATACGTAGAGCAGACTGACCGGATAGTCATGGCGTGTGGATGAAAAACGCTTTTACTGCTGCGGACCTATTGGTAGGCATGAATAGATATGGTAAAAAAAATATGCAGCAGAAGATAATGAGGTTGACAGAGTAGCGCCTCCGCTCCTTTTTCTTTGAGAGCAGCTCCAGCTGCTCGCAGAGGAACTGGATGGCGTACACCGTGTCCTTCTCTGATGTCGTCGACAACATGCTGAGCAACTCGCGAATTGCCTCAAACATTTCCTCGTCTTTGTTTTCGTTAGTGTTTTTGTTGCTTACGACGCCATCTCAATTTTAAATGCCCTCCAGGGGGTCCATCACCGCCCTTTTGCTCTTGACATCTGATGGGATGCATGCTTGATCCCAGTCTTCTCGGCGTTTGCACCACGTGAAGAGTAAGGCTGAAGTCGGAGTTTACAGCAATCGAGTATTTGATACATTGTGCTGGGTTTTCAACAATGCACCAAAATGAGCCGACCACTGCTTTCAAGAGCTTGCCAGAATGCACACTGCTTGCTTCTTATGTGGTCGGCCAGATCTTTTGGGCTCAGCAACATATCTCATTGGTCGCTGGCAAACGTTCCATAGAGTCGGCCCCAGCGGTTTCAATGGCTCTTAAGTCGAGGAGCATTCTTCGAGCCCCAGGGGCTTCTCTTGCTTGTGATTGATCTGTAGAGAGGTAGCCGGGGCAGTTTGGAAACCTGCTAGGCATTGCCCCAGGGAGTAGGCGGAGATGTTTTAATGAAACAGTAACTTGGGACCCTGTAGCGTCATCTACGTGTGACGCCTCTCGAAGGATGTCACTCACCGTGAAGTGGCACTCGCACACCTGAAACACAAATTTGCCTTCGTATATGTGACAGCAATATGTCAGTACTTTTTATTTGGTTCCCACGTGTCACGCGAAGTACAGATGTCTCGATAATATATTCGTGCACAAACACACGTGTCAACATTTTTTTTCACGCGCACGTCATTTTACAGGGATAGATGTTACTTTTTTACACGCCTCCTTTCTTTTTACAATGCTTTACAGCATAAACAAAACCGAGGAGAACTTGCAGTTGTCCAGTCGTAGTAATAGAATAACTTGTTTAACTTGTAGTTCAACGTGAGCGCGTTGGTGAAGTTAAATAAAACGGAAGGAATAAACATAGGGAAGGACAGTTCC